AAAATTTTAGAGAGAGAAATTATCTCAATTTTTAAGTTTTAGAGAGAAAATATCTTAAAACTTTAGAGAGAAACTATATCAAATTTAGAGAAAGTATTGGAAATATTCAAAGATAGAAACTATTTAAAAAAAATTAGATACATAAATTATTTCAAATTTTGTTTTAGAGAGAGAAAGTATATTAGAATTCTAAAGAGAGAAACTACTTGAAAATTTTAAAGAGTGAAACTATCTCAAATTTTAAGTTTTAGCTAGAGAAAATATATTAAAAATTTGGAGAGAAACTATATCAAATCTTAGATAGAGAAAGTACTTGAAATTTTTAGAGAGAAACTATTTTTAAAAAATTAGATAGAGAAATTATCTCAATATTTAAGTTTTAGAGAGAGAAAGTATATTAAAATTTTAGAGGGAGAAACTATCTCAAACATTAAGTTTTAGAGAGTGAAAGCATCTTAAAATTGTAGCGAGAGTAACTATATCAAATTTTAGAGTGAGAAAATACCTAAAATTTTTTAGAGAGAGAAACTATATTAAAATTTTAGAAAGAAACTCTCTCAAATTTTGAGTTTTAGATAGAGAAAGTATCTTAAGATTTTAGAGAAAGAAACTATATTATATTTTAGGGAGAGAAACTATCTCAAAAATTTTATAGAGAAGAGCTATCTCAAATTTTAAGTTTTAGAGAGAAAAAGTATTTCAAAATTTTAGAAAGAGAAACTACATCAAATTTTAAAAAGATAAAATATATAAAATTTTTATGGAGAGAATCTATCTCAAATTTTATAGAGAGACTATTTCAAATTTTATGTTTTTGAAAGAGATTGTATTAAAATATTAGAGAAAATTTTAGAGAGAGAAACTATGTCTAAAAATTTAGAGAGAGAGAGAGAAAGGATTTTCATTTCCAAAACAAAGATATTTCAGACAATCCAAACAGAGAATTTGTATTTTTTTTATTTCTATCAGATGCGATCCAAACAGCATACACCATATTCTAAAAAAATATCAATTCCAGTAAATCTCTATTCCAAAATTGACTTTTCTCAAGATTGAAAAATCTGGGATCCAAGCGGGCCCTAAAAGAATTTGAAAGAAAAATAGATAGAACGGGTTGGAAATAAAAGAATTAAATCAAAATTTATCAAAAATATTTAAGAGATTCTCTCAAAAAATGTCTAAGAGATGAAGCATTTAATATCTCATTCATTTCATTTAATTTTAAAATGGCCATAATCATGTGTTATAGGCGCGTTTTGATACATAGGTAATGATATTTTAGCATTTTGATGAATCTCAAAATTAAATAAAAGGTAATTATTAAAGGTATCTTTTTTTTTTTTTGAAAACTTTGAAACATAGCAAAATTTTTTGAAGTCTACATACGTACCTATTTACGTAGGAGTACTTTTTTTTTAGAAATTCCCTTCCCTACGTAGGAGTACTTTTTTTTTAGAAATTCCCTTCCCTACGTAGGAGTACTTTTTTTTTAGAAATTCCCTTCCCTACGTAGGAGTACTTTTTTTTTTAGAAATTCCCTTCACACTTCTGTTAGAACCAAATTTGACAGGACCCTTAATGACCATGGGACTTCATGGGAGGCATCACAAATGCATATTATCACAACAATATTAGTGTCGTGATAATTACTAATATTAGTAAATATTAGTGTAATGACACTCACTAATATATTGTATGAATGAGGAATACCATGCACTAATAGTACCGTAATTTAGAATATTGAGTTCTATTTAGTGAATATGAATCATGAGTATCACGACACTATTCACCATTCTTCTATTAATGAAAAATTGGGTCGGGGGCCTTCTCCCACTGTTCACCATTCGATACTCATTGAATAGTGAACTCGCTATACATTAGTGACTGTCGTAACACCATTAGTGCCATGATATACTCATTATTGATATTAGCGAGTATCAAGGTGCCAAAATACTGTGATAAACATTACCGCATTAATAGTGAATATAACAATACTAAAATATTATGATGAACCTCGTGGTCATCAAGAAGCCTGGAACATCATTATGTAAAAAGTACAATTTGTATAAGGCCGAACACACGTTCAAATGGTTTCGAGAAATATGGTTTCAATACTGAAAATATTTGTGATAGCTATAAAAGATATTGTCATCTCTAATTATAAAATTTAAAGCTTCAAAAATATTATAGATTGAGTGGATCTATGAAAATTTGAAAATCGTGAAAATTGACTGTCCAAAAATACATTACAAGATACACTATTTTATAACTTAAAATCCATTTTTTTTTCTCATGCTCATGCATCTTGAGGTCAAAATGATCAAGTTGAAGATATTTGGACATCAAAACAACCTCTTCAAACGAAATTTTTAAGGTGCACCCGAATTTGATTGGTTAGAGCCTCGCACTTTCCTTTTTTTTTCTTATGTAAATAGGCATGAACTTAGATTTTAAAAAATTTACATATGCCTCAATTTTTTTCTTTAAAAAAAAGGGATATTTTTTATAATTACCCTTAAAATAAATAGGTATTTTAAGCTTATGTATTTAAAATGCTCAATTTTATTTGAAATTGTATACGATGAGACCATTTACCTTTAATACAAAATGGTCAAAATTACTTACAACCATCCGATGCGAAGTTTGATAGCTTGAATGTATCACAAAGTTTGAGAAAATTTCTTTTGAAATTTGAGCTTAGTCAATGAATAATTACAGCAACCCAATATCCAATGATCAAAGTTAATGTCTCACCTTGTATAAAAAGTAAATAGTCTCGTTCTATACTTTCTTTTTTTTTTAAAAAAAAATATCTTTATTAACCCCATTTTCAACTTCTTTTTCTTTTTAAATCCAAAATTTCTAAAGCTTATATTCTAATCTCCAAATAACTTTATTTATTTTTATTCTAACTTTTAAGCCAAACAAACTAAAAAAAACATCTTTTTTTTAACTCTCCCCTCACGTGTTGCAATATCTCTCCTCAAGTGTTTCTCTCTCTAAACTGGTATTGCTCTCTATCCTCAAGTGTTTCTCTCTAACTGTTCTTCCTCTCTCCTCACGTATTTCTCTCTCTAAACTGTTCTTCTTCTCTCTCCTCATGTGTTTCAATCTCTCTCCTCACGCGTTTCTCTCTCTAAACTGTTCTTCCTCTCTCTCCTCAGGTGTTTCAATCTCTCTAGACTGTTCTTCCTCTCTCTTTTTGCCGCCCATTTCAGCTCAACAATATGTATGGCTCGGCATGGTCCTCTAAGAATGGGAGGCCCTTCATTTTCGCTATTTGGTCATATACACGTCGGTTAAAAGCATCGGCCACGGTTTTCAAGATTAGAAGAAGGAGCATCAAAAGGGGGAGCATGTTGAGGTTGTTTGTAAGCTCCCGAAGGATTACACAGACAAAAGACAGTCATGCACATGGTGCCTCCAAGGAAGGAAGCGGCTCCCAAGAGAGCAAAAAGACGAGGGTCGAGGTCAGGAAGTGAGGAGGCTATGGCGCGACCAACTAAACAGCCATAAGAGGCACCAGGGATGAAAAGCCCAGACGGGAGAGCGACACCATAGGTTAAGAGATGGAAGCAAAAAATTTGAGGTTTGTGGGGATAGTGTAGGGTTGAAGAGATAGCACCATCATTAGTATTAGTGTTGAGGAAGAGGGATGCGAGGCCATTTGTAAGGCCAGGAGGGTAGTTGAACCTCTTGAAGTTGCCTGAGCGACCGACAGTTTGACATGGTTCCTTGAGGATTTCGGGGCAGCGGGTACAGCTAGCTGGCGAGCCAAGGAAGGAACCTTTCGGGGCAGGGGGTACAGCTAGCTGGCGAGCCAAGGAAGGAACCTTTCGGGGCAGCATGAGGTGAGGAGGGAGATGGCACATGTTAGAAGCATCTTCAACACCGAGCCCTTCTCATTGATCATGTTGTATGCTCGAAGGAGCTTGTCCAAAAGACGGTTGCCGGAAAACGTGAGGAAGAGGAAGAGCCATGTGGCTAATAGGGCGTGGCGTAAGTCAAGAGGGGCTTCATCTTCCCGGCGCGTTTTGGCCGGCAAATTGGGGCTTTAGCCAAACCCCAAATTCTGGGCGGTCAATTTTGGGGTGTTTGGGGAGTTGATTGGAGGAGAAAGAAAAGGAATAGAGAGAGGGGTTAGAAAACAATTTTTTTAAAAAAATTGTTTGGGCTAAAAAAATTAATAAAGAATGAATAAAATATGTTTAGAGAGCTAAGAGATATAATAAAGTAAATTTCTATTTAGTAAATTAGGTTTTACAACCTTAAGTCGATAGATAAATGAAAGTTGAAAATAAAATCTATGAAGATATTTTCTCATTATTTTACCCAACATAATTTACCCTGAAGCCCATGATAGTTTGCCCTACTCTCTATAATAAGGTCAACTGGTAAATGAAAGTTGAAAATGGAATCTATGAAGATATTTTTCTTTATTTTACTCGACAGAATTTACCCAGAAGCTCTACTCTCTATAGCAGGGTCCCCTCATTACGAGGTGATAAGAGAAATTGTGAAACTAACGGAAGCATGGCAAACTCCAGTTCCCATTGGATGGTGTGATGACTTATGCATGACTATGGAAACTTCCAGTCAAACATTAGGGATTGTATAATGAGACTCTTTATTTTTATATAAAGAAGTCACACTCAATTATAACCATCAAATATGAAATATGATAGCATGGGTGTCACAAAATTCGAAAATATTTCTGTAGAAATTTGAGCTTGATCAATAGGATAAATGCATCCAATTAATTTCACATCCAACGATCAAGATTAATTGTGACCACCTTATACCAAAGATAAATTATCTATATTTTTTCTTAAACATTATTATAAGACATGCACAAGTCCTTAGTTGGTAACTGCAACTTCCAACTCCCACTCTCTCAGTCGACGACTTTCGTAACTGCAACTTCCAACTCCCACTCTCTCAGTCGACCACTTTGCTGATTAGTCCAAAAGCAATCCACAAGATATTTGGGACCTTTAAGGTTAAAGAATTTGGGGTAATAATTCATGTACATATCGCATAATGGATCTTCAAATCTAACAAGAAAATAAAGTATATATCTCATAATGGTCTTCAAATCTAACAAGAAATAAAACTAAGTTCCCGTTGCTTCTTCACATATCATGAAGTTCAAAAGTTTGAATATCTAGTCTAGAAAACTCATTTTTCAAGTCAATGGGATATCCTCGACAAAGGAAAGGATGTCTGACTGCCTTTTTTGTATAGAGGCACTAGAGAAATCCAAGACGAAAAATATGGGTTCCTGGGAATTTACAACCAGCTTCTCAACCAATGCTTCACAAATAAAGTATGCCAACAAATTTTTATCGGTTTACTGAAGCAACGACTGTCTTTAGAAAGAAAAGGATGTTGCTGGACATAGAAGCTAAAGCCCATCATCAGCGGCGGACAAGATAGGTAGTACCATCATAATGGATTTCTTCAAATTCAGAATCAGAATCATCTTCTTCATCATAGTATTCATCATGGTCGTCATCATCCTCCTCTTCATTCAATTCATCATAAACAATATTGTGCTCATCCCAGAGTTTGCATGAACAAGTTGGTTTCTTATTTCTCCACTGAGCCCCACATGTATAGCAAAATTCGTAACCACACCTGCAAACAAAAGGACATCCACTTATTAGTACTCAAGGGAACTTCTTTTTAATCCTGACCTTTAATTTTTTCTAATAATTATTTTCTGGGGGGTAAGGTCGAAGCCCCTTCTAGTAAAACGAGAAAAGTTACATACATTCCAGAAAATATTCCTGGCATTACATAATCATCCATATTTTCCACGACTTTCTGCCTAAGCGGAGCTCCATGCGATTTCTTTTTTTTTTTAGTCTTTTTTTTTTTTGAATTGTTTTATTATCGTCAGCTATAGGGATGCCCGAGAGTTTAAGGGTCATTTGGGTGTGGGTTCTATGTTTCAAACACTGGTTAATCCTATTTTAGATCAGTCCGATATAAAAAATTTCAGACCGGGCATGAGCTAATAAGAAAAGTTACACTGAAAAGCTGTCTAGTATCATAAATATTGGACAACTCAAAACCTTGCGGTCTGAGGTCAGCAAAATTGGACCAGTCCCTAGACTGAGAAGGAAGCGGTATGCTATCCCCAATCCGCCCAGGCCCCCAGGGCCCACCTAGGCGGCTGCCTAGGCACAAGGTGGGCTGCTTTTTGAATCACTAACATAAAAAAAATGATTAGTACAGTTCAACTGGTTATGATTGGCTCCTAAGAGGCTCATCAAATGAAAGAACCTCTACCACATGGAAGGAGATTTCCACCACTTACCAGGACTTCTCAAGCAATTTGATATCTTGTTAGGTTGGCAACTAGGGTAAATAGTCAGAATGACCATTGGCTAGACTCTCAACCCCTGGGCATCTCGTGTCCTAACCGTTTCAGCAACTTTAAAATCCCGAGGGGCCATACAATATGGTCTCCCACCTTTCGACACAATCTTACGGACCATTGAACTTTGGACCTTGCCTCCTTTCTCGACTCTCCACAACCACTTCCGTCTGACAAATTGCCCCAACAAAATCATATGGACCCCAACTAGATCTGGGCAATGAAAAAGTAGCAAAGTACGAAGCGATTCGTGTAAAATAAAAAAGCCAGCAACGATGCAATTGTATATTAAAGAAAGTTAGAGATTGGACGTCAACTTCATAATTTACAGCCAAGTTTACAAGATTTCTAATAGGCTTAAGATAGAGAACTACATGAAAATGAGCAGCAAGATGAAATCAGATTGAGAAGATCAGCAAGAGTGAAACTTCCCATTGCTAGATGGATCAGCTAGTGAAGTTTCACACATAATTTTCAGATATTTATGTGTGAAATAATGAAGATAAAAGAACCCAGGAATTTCTTTGAAGCTAGAAGAGATGAGGAGGAGGATTAGAGCCATGGCACAAGAAATACAAGCCATAAATGTTAATCGTACTTGGTGCATCGTAAGAAGGTCAAGAGACAAGAATGTGGTCGATTGTAAATGGGTATATAAAGTGAAATATAAACCTAATGGAAGTGTGGAAAGGTGTAAGAAGCAAGATTTGTGGCAAGAGGATTTAGCCCACAGCATAGCTTGGATTATGTGGAAACTTATTGGTCCAAGTATTAAAATTGTTACCGTAGGAGTTGTTATATCCCTAGCCCTCATGCTTGATTGGTTGCATGTTAAAAATGCTTTGATTGCATGAGTTAAAGGAAGAAGTATATATGGAATAGCCGGCTAGATTCCATGAAGTAAAACCAATTGAATATGTTTATAAGCTAAAGAGAACTATATATGGGTTGAAGCAGGCATCCAGAACCTGATTTCAAAGTATTTTAAAGGGGAGAGGTTTTATTCAATCAACCAATGATCAATGTTTTAAAAAACAGTCCGCCTAGCGCCTAGGCACCCGCCTAGACCCAAGCAGCCCTACACGAGCGGATGTACCTGGGCGGGCGCCCAGGCGAATGTACCTGGGCGGGCGCCCAGGTGAATGTACCTGGGCGGGCTAGGCAGGCGCCTAGGCGGGTTTCGCTTTTTTAAAATTACGGGGCGCCCGAGGTTCTGGGCGCCCGCCTAGGTGCCTGCCTAAGCGCTGGGCAACGCCTAGCGTTTTTTGAAACCTTGTCAATGATAACTCTCTATTCCCTTTGAAAGGTGAGAAAGGCATTGTTATTATGTTATATGCAAATAGCATTATTATTACATGTAATATGAGGATGATAAATGAAGCAAAGGAGTTCCTCAATGAAAGGTTTCAAATGAAGGACCTATGAGAATTGACGTATTTTGGGAATTGAAGTGGATCATTCTTGTAGTGAGATTCACTTTTCATAGCACAAATACAAGTGGATCGTTCTTGTTGTGAGATTCACTTATCACAGCACAAATATGCCTTAGATATGCTAGAAAAGGCCAATATGTTGAGTTGTGAACCTTTTTGCACTCCAGTAGCCTTGAATAGAAGATTATGTGCTGATCAAGGAGATCCACAGTTAGAGCCAGAAAAATACAGAAGTATGGCAGTGGCATTACTGTATTTTACTCTTAATCGCCTAGATATTTCATATGATGTTAATCAAGTATGTCAGTACATGCATGCAGAAACTACCATACACACGGAGGCATTGAAAAGGATTATGAGATATGTGAAAGGTTCCCTTGGCAGCAGTTTGTTATATAAGAAAAATAAACAAGTGAGTCTGGATTTGGGGTCTGTAATTGGATATTGAGATACAGACTGAGCAGGAGGTCCTAATTCCACAAAATTAGTTTTGGGTTATTGTGTTCTTTCTTTAGATAATTTAATATCTTGGGGGAGTCAAAAATAAAAAATGGTTGCTAGATCAAGCAATGAAGCAGAATACAAGGCTCTCGCTAGAACGGTGGCAGAGATTACATGGGTTCTTAGTCTCGTATCTTGGTTGGCTTGTAAAGTTGGCAGGTCGTCTTTCTCATCATCATCATCATCATCAACATCAAAGTCTTATCCCAACTTTGGGGTAGGGCCCATTAATTGTGTTCCACCATTATGCTCGCTCTATAAAGGGCCATAACCTCAATAAGACCATAAGTTCCATATCTATTTTCACTACTTCCAACCATGTCCCTTTGGGTCTTCCCCGTTTTTCATAAATGCTCTAGCAATCGTTTCAAACCCAATTTTCATGAAGGACAAAGCGCATTGAGATTGATTACCATTTTATCTGACAAAAGATAGCGATTGAAGAGCTTGAAGCAATATTCATTGGTACAGAAAATCAAATCGTGGATATATTCACAAAAAGTTTATCAAGGGCAAGGCATGATTACCTAAGAAGCAATTTGTAGATGTTTAAACTTGAGGGGGAGTATTGAAAGTGTTTGAAGGTTTGTCTTAATGTTGGAAGGTTTGGGAATAGGTATTTGTACAAGGGGCATTCTTGTAAAGTTGTTTCCCTAATGTAACGCACTGATTTTAATATAAGTATTCATTGTCCTGGGTATGCCTTTATTGCGCAGTTCTTTCACGCCAGAAGTCTAGCGTGCCTCGTTGTCTTCTCAGCATAAGTAAAATTAACAAATCCAATCTGTTTTTTTAAGAATAATATGTACCACTCTGACCTGCCACAGACCAAGCTCCATAAAAATTAAGCATATTAGCTATCCTATAGCACAACTGCTTGGAAGAAAATAGCAGGTGTTTCAAGAACAAAACCCATTTGAGTGATATGGTTGAAAGATAGAACAAAAGAAAGTATAACATCATGTGCATTAATAAGTAAAAAATGGGGGTGCTCATACAGCAATCCCCATGATCGGTGGTAATCTATCTCAAGGGAATCACAACCCTGCAATGCTCAGCCAGATGGACTCCATCAAAAGAAGGAACTCACCATCATTTTACATCATCATCATTTTAGCATTTTCCCAATTAATTGGAGTCGGCTCATCATAAGAAGGAACTATAAAACATAATTTTGAAGGAAGAGCAAACGGAAACACTGGCCAAGTGGGTGTAGGTGGATTAATTTGAGGACACCTCAGAAGAGCACTAAAGATATATTAAGGATCAGCAGGGGTATGTGACACACATGACAGAAGTAAAAGTCTTACAAGGTTGAGATGTCTTGACCCTAATTAGGAGAGTATTGAGGGTAATTCTGCAAATATAATGGGTTAGTTAACCTTAGTGATTGGTAAAAAATTTCTATGAGATTTTTGACCTTATCAGCAACTTAAGGATCTCCTTAACACCATTAATTAAGGGAACCAATGAGGTTGCTGATATGTTAGTGAAATACAGTGTCCTAACACCAGCACTTGTGATTAGTCTATTACAAAGATAGACAGTACCAAATTTGGAGAAAGGCCTTCAAGGACAATGTTTTTGGACTATATGCTTTTGCAATTCTTTAATGAAATATAGTTAATATTCAAAAAAATGCGTACCACTTCTCCTGAAGGCAATGAATACTTACTCCCTTTCTTTCAGGGATCTACTCATACTTCTTTCCAATTCTTCAATGATCTATTATGAAGCCATTCAAGACACATGCACCAGATATATTTTGGCCTACAATCAGTGTAGCTGACATGTAAATTGAAACTTCATGTGTGCTAAATGATACATCTTTAAGTGTCACAAGCTGTATCTGAAATTCTTTCAGTATGATCTGCACGAGGTTTTGGATGCCAGATGACAGTCATCAACGCTTGTTTGAAACTTGGGCCACACATCCATATTCCGACCGCATACAAACATAAACCATGACTTAGATATATGTATACTGGACTTCAAGTGCACATGTATAGAAGCTGGACACGTGCTTGCATACATTGGATATTTGTATCCAATTTTATTTTTTAATTGGCATTTTAATTTTACATACCAGTGTGTAATACCATTAGCTACATGTAATGACAATTCAAATTGTATAAATTTGTTGTGCCCAATACAATATATTTGAAGGAAAAATTATGCTTATGTTGGACAGACATTTATGTCTGTCCCAAAATAGCCTTCAAACTTCCCTAGAATATAAGGACCAAAACCTAGACAGCACTAAATCAGTTTAAACATGGCACCTTGAATATTCTTTGGTGTCACATGTCAACAAATATTGA